ACCCCTTCCCCATCAAACCCAACCCTGTGCCGTGCCGTGCCGTGCCATTGTCTTATCAGATGAGATCATATCACATCCTCTATCTCTCGCTCCCTCTCCCTCTCCCTCTCCCTCTTCCAGTCCCGATGCGGCTCCGATTCCGGGTCCTGTATAATGGGAACTGATAATCCAACCCAAACCATTAAATGACCCATTAATGAATGAATCGCTTGTTTCGAGTGCGATTGGAACTCCGATCCGATCTTCAGATCTTGATCCTGTATGTGTATGTATGTGTGTAGGTATGTGTGTGCTGTGTGTAGGGGGATGGGTTCGATGCTGCTGTGCTGTGGATGCTGCGCCGTGTAGTCGTCATTACTGCATGCATACTGGGAGGGGAGGTTCTGTGCAGTGGTGGCAGTGGTGGCAGTGGTATGGGATGCTACTAGGGAATATAGTCCCGCATGTTTGCTTGCTTGTTTGCTTGTTTGCTTGTTTGCTTGCTTGCTTGCTTATTTTGTTTGGATTGTGGGGTAGTTGTAGGAGGATTGAGGGATGGGATGGGAGGTCTGTCTTATGTAGGTCTGTAGGAAGGTTGGTCTGTAGGTTGGTCTGTAGGTTGATCTGTAGGTTGATCTGGAGGTTGATCTGGAGGTTGATCTGGAGGTTGATCTGTAAATCAGTCCGTAGATCGGTCTGTAGGAAGGTAGCTAGCTAACAATGGGTAGCCTTCTGCTATGGGTGGACAATCCAGGGGCCAGTCGGGGGATCGATCCACCCGCCGTGCCTGGCCCCGTACTTGACTCCCTTCCCTACCTGTCAAGCGAGGGAAGAGGGAGAAGGTAGGATGTCTGTCCCCTGCTAGTTGATTCTCGGCTTTTAGGATGGGCATCGAGAGAGAGATGTACAGTACAGTACAGTATAGTATAGTACAGTACAAGGATGATGGATTTGTAGTACAGGGCATTCCCAGCACCAGGATAATCGATTGATGATGTTATCGATGGATAATAGATAAGGTAGATAGATAGATACGACGACGATATACCCTGTTCTTGTCGTTGATGATGATGATGATGATACACGCGATCGAAGAACAATCCCCCTTCCCCTCCCCCATTCCGTATTTTCAACCACAGAAACCAAATTCAAAGTACGAAAACGGGAATCTTCCAGGCATAGATAGATAATCTTGTAGACGAAGAAAGTAGACGCAGGATGCTAAGAAGAAAACAAGAAAAAAAAGGTTCGAATAAGAGAAAGAGAGAATTGTACCAGGAAAGAAAAAGTCGGTGGTTTAAAGTTGAATCAAGGCTTTGAATCAGAATCAGAATAAAATATGCGCGTCTCTCATTCATACAGGTCATCATACTCCTTCCCCCCCTACTGCCTCGGTTCCGTGACTACGCCCTCGTAATCCCGTGACCGGATGTATTCCAGTGTGCGTTGGAAGTGGCGCTTGGGGCCTTCGAGGCTGGGGTTGGGCTCGTCCTTGTCGGTCTGGAGGTTGGAGTGGATGAGCTCGATCAGCCCGTTCAGGTACTTGGTGGTCACGGTTTCGTTCTGCTGGTCGAAATAGTACACGTAGCGGTTCAGGATCTCGACGAAGAGTTCCACGGACACGGCCGTGTCCATGCAGGCGTCGGCGACGCGGAGGGCCCGTTGCAGGCATTCGAGGACGCGCTTGCCGTCGCGGTAGAGCTGTATGATTCTCAGTTAGTTGGTTCGTTATTTGGGACAAGACAGGAGTCAGCGCAGGCAAACGTACGTTCTTCGGGTCCTCCTCGCCCCGTTGCGGGTTCTCCACCACCCACCAGAGATGGCTGGCCAGATATACCGCGCGGCACTGATCGGGCTTCTTGAGCAGCTTGCTGCCGTGCAGCGCCGCCTTGGTGATGAGCGTGTCGTAGTTCTCCTTCGAGAATCCCCGCGTGCCGTGCAGCGCGCCGGCAATGATGCAGACGGCCTGGAACTGAGCGCGGGAGTCGCTGATGGAGTCCTCGTAGATCGTGAACGCCTGGGCAAAGAACTCATAGCTGAACTCCTCGAAGCCCGTCTGGTCGGCCACCTCACCGCACATCACAAACAGCCGCAGCGCTAGGTCCGCGCATCCGGGGTTCACGCGTTGGTAGAGGTTGTTGACGCACTGGTGCATGAAGCGGTAGAGCGCCGAAGACTGCGACTGCCAGTTGTCATCGTAGTGCTCGCGTGCCTTGAGTTTACGCGCCAGGCGTATCGAAGAGGTGATAAGAGCCGGTGTGGTGTAGCGGATGCGCTCGTTGCCGTCGAGGTAAGCTTTTCGGGTCGCTTGAAGCAGCTGCAAGATGCATTAGGGCACTGTTAGGAGAAGAGAGGAAACGAGGGACAAACCTTCAGCTGCGTGTCGTTGTCGTCCGCCTTGATCAGATGTACCAATCTCGCAAGCCACCCTTGCTCCTCAATGGTCTCCTCCGTCTCGCCTCGTCGCTGAGACCCAGGGTAGCCCATGGACTGCTGGGTCCCCTCCTTGATCAAGACTCGTAAGGCCTGCAGAACACGGTCGAGGTTCTCTGTGGTGGTGATCGGGGTTCCGTTCTTGAGGAGGCTGCGAGCGATCTCGCCCGCGACCGATCGCCGCGTCGGGTAAGACTGGGTGGTCAGAAGTGGGAGGTAATGAGGCAAGGCCAAGGCCGTGAAGATCGAAACGTAAGAGCGGAGAGGGGCGGTGAGAAGTTGCAGGAGATTTTGTTGCGTGGGCGCGGAGTGCAGGTCGGCGTGGTCGGTATAAGCGGCGGTCTCTTTCGTCGCGAAGTCAAGGACCTGGTCGACGTATTCCAAGTGGTCGGGATACGTGTTGAGCGCGAGGTTGGCCAGCGAAAGAAGCAGCGCCATGGTGTCTTGGATAGGAAGACCGCGGCTCTTGATCAAGTTGACCACTTGCTCGTAGAAAATGGCATACAGCTTGACATCGGCAGGGATGGCCTCCGGTGCATTTGCATCGCCATTAGCTGATTTCTGCTCTCCTTCCTCCGCCGTTTCGCTGTCCTTCTTGGTCTGCTCGACACCATTCTCCGGGGCTGCCTCTGCGTCGGTCGCCGGCTCGTCCGCCTTCGTCTCTTTCTCTTCGGACACCTTGAGATTCTCGAGCAACTTGGTAACAGCCTCTTCCTCCTTCAACTTCCGTGCCTCCGGGTCCGCAGAAGCCTCTCTCTCGCGGGCAGCATAACTCGACAGACGGTCCATCAAACCGATGACGATCTTCTTCAGGTCCACATGCGGGTTGAGCCGCGAGATCGCCGAGAGCAAGAGGTCCAAGGTGTGCAGATGGAACTCGTCCGGGAAGACCTTGGTGATCACTTCCAGCAGATACTCCTGCGCCAAGACATCCCGACACTGCACGACCTGTTCCAGCAGCGCCTGCAGGATCCCGGACTTGTAGCCCTCGAGGTCGACCAGCTGACTGAGGCGCACCACGTTGCTGCCGACCAGCAGCTCCAGCTCGCGGCGCTCCTGCATGCGCTTCTCGCGCTCGCGGGACGGGCCCTGGTGCTGCAGCCGCACCCACAGCTTGTTCATCTCCACGAAGTTGGTCAGGACGAAGTTGATCGAGTCCTGCAGGTTGCCTTCGGGCCCGTCGCCGGCGCCCGTCGGCAGGTGGTCCCGCGCCTGGCCGGACAGGTAGTACCGCAGGAACAGGCCGCGGATGGGGTGCTGCACGCCGCGGCTCATCTCCATCATGTCCTTCATGATCTCCTTGACGGGGGCGTCCTCCACGGACATGTACACCGTCCCGACGGTGATCATGAGGTAGAGGCGCGGGATGATGTTGCCGGCGTATTGGACGAGCTCGTACAGGTCGGCCAGGTGGTTGACCGGGTGGTTCTCTTTCAGGTATACGGAGAGGTGTCGCAGGGCGTCGAAGACCGCCATATATAACTCGTAGTATTGCTTGGGGCCGAGACTAGGGGTGCGGAGCTCGGAAACTAATGTCGACCTTGTAGAGAAGAAAAAAAGATTAGAACTGAGGCAGCTTGTTGTCTTCTTGTGCGTGTTGCGCGGTGCCTGGGGGTTCGCATGTCCAATTGGTGTTCCCATTGCTGCCTGGGGAGGAGGGGAGCTCACCCGCATTTCAGCGCATCCATTAATTTGCCGGGGGTCTCTAGACATTTCCGCATCATCTGCGACTGTTGACGCACCACGCCCAATGCCTCCTCGAGGAGACGAGTCTGGTCTTCGGGGGGTGCTACCGGGGTAGCCATGTTTGTTGTTCTGTGTGGATGGGGGAGGCGTGAGGGAAGGAGGGGGGAGAGTCGAGTTGGTCTTCAGAAAGTCGGAGCGGTAAACACCTGGCCGGAAAGGGGGAGGGGAGGCCGGAGCAAGGGTCTCAATGACGGAGATAGTGGGTTCGTTAGATGCGCGAAGGGGAGTACACGAGATTAGACGGCTCCCGGTCGATAGACAGGAGAATCGAGGGTGGAGATGAGCCAAAAGCCGGGGGAGGTGAATGTGAATGCGGACATGCGATCAGGACTGGACTGGGAGACTGTCCGGGACAGTAAGTCAGTCAGTCAGTAAATGAATGGGCTGGGCTCGGGTTATGTAAACGAACCGCCCGGCGGGATCGTACGTCACGGGGGCACGAGGCAAGCTAACCACTCTGGGCTTATCATTGGTTTGATCAATGCATCCGCCAAAGGTCTCTATATCGTCCCTCCTCATCTACTCACTCTAGGCAATGATCATGGATAAACCAAGTCCATTCTATTGACCCCAATTGAACCCAAAACTATCTATCTACCAGCGCATGACTGTACTGCTCCACCCCACATCTAACAAAATGCAAGTGACCGAAAGAAGCAAGTACAGTACAGTAGGAATCATCAAGTTACCGCCAAAACACATACCGTAAAACCATAACAGCCGCAACGCCCCAGATATGCCAATCCTCATAACTAACGATCGTCATGCCAGTCATGACACATAAAATCCGGGACCATATACCCATAAATCCCAAAAGAACGCTTGCTTGCCGTGTACCGTGTATCGTCGTGATCGTATTGGATCGCACCAGTCGTAAATAGCCATAAACTTACTGAGAGAAAAAGCCAAGAAGGAGAGATATCTCATAAAGGGCTCAATAGTCACCTGCAGTCACGTTCCGAGCGTGCACAGAGGTGCCGTTCACGCTTCGGGCGAAGGGCTTGGTAGCAGCCTCGGTGGTGTTGAGTGCGCGCTTGGTAGCATCGGACTGCTCCGCGGTGTTGTTGGAGCTCTGAGAGATGTGCTTGGCGTCGGTGGTGAGTGCACGCCGCGCGAAGGCGGCCGCATGCTCAGGCGCAATATCAACGCGGGCCGGCTGGGTCTCATTGGCGCTGCTGCCGGTGTGCTTGGTGGCTGCTTCGGTGCCGGTGAGGGCGCGCTGGGTCAGAGCCTTGGCGGACATGTCTTCGTCCTTGTGCTCGGCGTGATGGTCTTGCTCATGCTCGGTCCCGTTGTGCTTGTCCAAGGAACGGGGCAGCGTGTCGTTGCTGCGCTTGGCCACTGTGGTGGAATCCTGGCTGGCAGGGGTTTCGGTGAGGGTGGTGTTGGCGTGCTCATGGCGACGGTGGTTGTTCTCTGTGCTGTTGAGTGCCCGCGCCGCAAACTGTGGCCCCGGGTGGGGGATGTCTGTCACCCGGGAACCGACGCTCCAGGAGGAGAAAGAGAAAGGCTCCAGTGCTGGCGTGGAGGAAGGATATTCAGTGACGGTCACCGTCACTGGCGGCGAGGGCGTGGCGGTGATTGTCTCGACGGTGGGAGCGGCAGTGCCGGCGACGTCGACGACCTTGTAGGGCAGTTCATTCCTGCGAGCAATGGTTTCGTTTGCTTGGGAAGGAAAGACCGGCACTGACTGGGCAGTGAGGGAGAGAGCGAGAAGCAAAGCGGCAGTATACATGTTGGTGTGATGTGGAGGTTTGATGTTGGCTGTGGTTGAAGAAATTGAACAGAGGGAGGAAGAGGCACAAAGACGTTTCTGCTTTAGATATCAAAGACACTGAATGTCTTACACTGGAATCTCAATGGCTTGGACTAGACGAGAGCTAGAAGCCAAAGCTCGAGGGAACCGATTCATTTATCACTTGGATGGAAGCCGTAGATACACACACCGATCGATCCACCAGGGGCCCAGGAACCGAAGTTGGTAGCCTAAACAACATAGAAAATAGAAGAAGAAAAACAAAAAAAAGAAACAGAAAACAAAAAAGGAGATCCACCTGGACCCAGAGAATTAGATCTTTATTCCATCATAGACGGCACGCGGGGCCCAGTGGGCGGGAGATTAAAGTGCAGGCTGGCGCATCCTCGTTGCTGTCAAAGGAGGCTGGGAAAGTGGGAAATGGAGCCCTCATTGCCAGCCCCGTGGGTTTTGGGCGATTGGCAATTGACCCTGCACCCCGTTTAATTCTAGTACGACTAGTACGAGTCAGATGAATCTTGGCAGGGCACATACAATTCCAGAGGTCTCTCAGAGTAGTTTTGGCTACAGCACAGCACGAACCGAACAATTCGATCTGCTGGATGCTGGATGCTGTATAGAAAGTGAAGAGCGATTTTGATGTGGCTGGGCAGTGGGCACGGGCGGCTGTGGCAGATGACGTTGTTATTCGACAGTTGGCGGGCGGTGGGCCGAGGATCTGCCGCTCCAGAACGGTTGATCACCTTGTTCACCACCGACATACTACAGTACAAGCAACAACTCACAGTTACACAATGTTGATCACAGTCCAGATTCCCTCATACCACTATCACCGCCTCTATCGCTAAACTGTCTCCTCTACTATGCCGTCTCTCCAGCATCTTCTCTTATGTAGATCTCATCTTCTACGTCATGAGAAATGAGTACTTCGCTTCTCCGGGCGCTGATCAACCGGGTGATGCGATTGTGTGTTGATATTTCTATTCTTGATAGAGGCGGTGTCTTGATCATCACTCTCATCCATCAGGATGTCCCAATTAGAACACTGACATTGACCCACACATGACCAGGGACGCCATGCACAGTATACAGGAAGGTGGTCTACCGTACATAGTACATCGGCTACTATGTAACCCTGGTCAAAGGGCACATACCCGCACAACTAGACGAGCAGATCAGCCTGGCTGAGTGGGTCTGGTGGAAGTACAACTGTACTATCGAGGTAGGGTCTTGATGTATAGTGCTGGTCTGTTGTTCCATTTATAGCCTGTACCTATCTTGCGTAATATGCAGTTTAGCTCTGCGGGCATGGATTAACATTTGTAGCCATGGTGGCTCAAGTCGTGACGGTAATTGATGCGCGACTTGTCGATCCGCCTGTAGATAGCGGTAGGCGCAGAGTGAACTCCCATGCAAGATTCCGTGTCGTTTGCATGCACGCCCGATATGTGCAGAGCTCGGCTCGGCATGGTCTACGTAATGCGACCGTCCGGATGAACGGTCCCCACGAGGCGGTGTCCTCCTCGGATCCGAGTGCGGCTCCTCGTCGGTTGACGAAGACTGACTCCTTTGCGAAAGCCCTTTGCGAAAGGGATGAACTGACTCTCGTAGTGAATTCAAACTACCCTCAAGACAGAATCAGGTCCTCGACGCGGACCAAGCCACATCCCAAGCCCGCGGCGGCCCATCCGGCACACGCTTGGTTGGGGTTCCACGAGAGCGCAGTAACATGCGTTTCCTCCTCGTAGATGGTGATCATCGCCATCCCGTTGACCAGCTTGCGATCACCGATCAGGTTGCGCAGCAGGCTGACACTCTCGGCGCGGTATCCGTCGTAGAAGCGACTGACTCCCGTGCCGGTGTCGTGCGGGCCACGCACCCATTCATGCTGGAACCAGTTCTGTTGCCACTGCTTCTCTTTGGAATGCAGCACGCGGCGAAGCGGGTTGGTGGCTTGCACCGTGCCGCCCACGCAGCCAAACAGTACGCTGGGATGCCAGTAGCTGCACGGCGCCAGCGCCGAGATGGGGCTTGGCAGTCGGGCGACTGCGGTCGAGGTGTAGAACCGCCGCACGGCGAGAAGACGGGCGAAGTCGTTCTCGTCGCTGGAGAGGAACGACTGCAGCGGCGGGCAGTACGAGAGATGCGTCGAGCCCACCCGCATACGATTCGTATACACCTGGTCCTTGGGCGGGTCGACGACCGACGTAAGCCTGGTGTCGCCGTCCATGGACGTGGTGGCTATCAGATGGGGATATGTAGGGTAGGCTGATGAGATGTTGAGAACCCAGGTGGAGTGGAGTGCTTGGTAGAAGTAAGGGGCGGGACTCGATGACGAGTTCGAAGACGGCGCGATACTCCAGATCACGACATAGCCGTTGGCACAACCGACGGCGATATCGCTTGGCGAGAGCCATGTCACGCATGTACATACAGTCGATGGCGGCTTCGCCTCGAAGATCGTGGACTGTACCTGGTCTAGGAGGGGGGAGTCAGTATACCGACAACCACCAGAAGGATAGAGAGCAAGGAACCTACCGAATTCAGCCTTCTTGGTATCGCGGCCGACTTTTACGTCGATGACCCGCACATAACCATCGGTCCAGATGCCCGCCAGAAGGCCCAAGCTCTCGCGCTCGTCCTCGGCGTCTTCGTCGCGAGGACGGCGCGGCATAGGACACCAGGCCAAGCGCCGCAAATCGCCCCAGTCCGTACACAGCGCCAGGCGCAAATGTGGCCGGAAGCCCAGATCGATCTTCCGCGCCAGGGTCTCGGATTCTTGAGCCTGGAACGCCCAGATCTGCAGAGCGCAGGGATAGGGCGCCGAGGGTCGGAAGGCCGGGGCGGCCTGATCCTTCAGCGGATCGGGGACCTTGGCCTTCTGGTCCGGCAGAATCGGGGCCACGACGGCCAGATACTGCGTCCGCCCCGACTGATTCGGCGCCCAGGCCAGACATTGCACTTTGCTCCCGAAGTTCAGAAGCCATCCCTCGCGGACCTTGTTCCGACCGGACCCCGCCTTGGCCTTGCTGGCCCACGCCTCGCCGAAATCGAGCACCGCATGCTGACCCAGCGTGAACTCCTTCTGATCATCCACCGGCCCGAGGAGAACGGTATGATCCCCGCGCGACCGGGCCAGATACTTGCGGCGCGCGGCCGCCTCCCCGATCTTGGCCAGGCGCTGCCGCTGGCGGAACCGCTCGCGGACCCCGTCGCGATAGTACCAGTCCCAGCCGCGGGCGCTCTCCAACCTGAGGTCCTCGGGCTCGACCCCAAACGTCAACCCATACCCATAGTCGGCGCCCTCCATCGCCCGCTCCAGCGCCTCGCGCGTCGGAAACGTCGAATCCACCCCGGCCCCCCACCGCTCGCGCGCGTAGATCATCGCCAACAGATCGCGATTGTCCGTCCCGAACATGACCCGCAGATGGACCGCCTTGCCCACATGTTCAAGGGGGTTAAACGAGCCGCGCGAATGCGTCGTATCGCCAGTCAGCAGCAGACTGCCATCCGGATGCCGTCGCTTCGGTGTTCTGGAGTTTGCGGCGGCAGCAGCAGCAGCAGCAGCAGCAGCAGGAGTAGCAAACCCGGCACCGGAGGTACCAACTTTGCGTGACTTCCGGCGGGAAGAAGCACCAGTAGTCCTCGCACCACCAGCATTGCCTCCAGCTTCGCTGCCATCCTCCTCGTCCTCCTCGACCGCGTCCTCCGCCTCTTCTTCATCCTGGAACTCCTCGTCATCATCATCATCATCGTCCTCAAAATCCCCAGCATCCGGCATCTCAAAGTCCTCATCGGAGGATTTATCGTTCACGGCCGCGAACGCGCGTGTACTCTTTGCTTTCCCCTTGCTCTTGTTCTTGTTCTGGTTCTTCTGCTTCTGCGACGCCGCTGCTACCGAGGCGTCATCGTTGTCATCATGATCATCATGTTGGTCCTCCCGGTCGTGGTCGTCATCGCTAACGCCGGCGGCCACGAATGGGTCCTCTATATATTTAGTTCGGGCACCGGAGGTGCGATTGGACCGGCGGGCACGGGTCATTATTCTGTGTGTGATGAGGGGGTCGAGTCGACTTAGATGAAGTAGGTAGATATGCAGGCAGGCAGACAGGCAGGTCGGTAGTAGTAAGGGTAGCTCTGCGAGGATATAGTAGTAAGGTCAGGTCAGATCTTCTGAAAGTCCTTTCAGTCGGGTCGTCGCATCGCGGATCCCCGGGCCAAGTCACGGCTGAGGGGGGTTTGCTGTGCCTGGGATGGTCGCCAAGTATGTTATAGAAGACGGGAAATCATTGCGGGGGGGTATGTTTCGTTATTCGGGGTCATCAGTTGAAGTGAAGGTGAGTTTGTTGTTTTACAGTGGACAGACGAGAAAATATGCGCCGGATGAATCGAGCTCGGCGCCGCGAGCAATGCTGGTTACCTGATTGGGTTAGAGGGCTTGGCGGGGAGAGCTTGACTTTGAGTAGAAGTTGGAGTTTGGGGGATCATTGAACATACGTTCTCAGTATAAATAGGGGATATGGGATTTCAGGTATGGGAACTGTTGGATGATAAAGGCGAAATGTAATGAGACAGAGGTGTACTGTACCCCGCCATTGCCCAGTCAGGTCAGTTAACAATGACTGGCTCTACACTGAACTAATGCACTGGATCGCAATCCGAACTGACAGCTCCGACCTTCCACCCGAATCGGGGCTGGAACCCCGCCCTGCGCCCTGGCCCTGGCCCTGGCCCTGGCCCAGTGACCGCATCACCACCGGCTCGTCCTCCGTCGATAACGATAAGTCCTCCAACTACTCGTGAGCTCCCCATTGTGAACCGACCTCACCACCAAACAATCCTACAATTCACCCGCCATCAACCAGGCAGCGCACACACACATTCACAATGTCTTCCCCAAACCACTCACCCCCCGGCATCCTCCACGAATACGTACGTCCACCCTAACCTCCCAACCCCTCCCCCAAAACCTCCCAACCTAACACCGCACGCACCACACAAAGGCCCCCCACCTCGTCGCCTTCGAATTCACGACCCCCACTAACGACCCCAAACCCAACACCCTCCTCTTCATCGGCGGCCTCACCGACGGCCTGCACACGGTGCCCTACGTGCGCACCCTCGCGCAGGCCCTGCCACCAACAAGCACCTGGAGCGTGTTCAACCTCCTCCTCAGCAGCTCCTACAGCGGCTTCGGCACGGGCAGCCTGGACATGGACGTAGCCGAGATCGCCCAGTGCATCGAGTTCATCCGCACGCGGCTGCCGCACAAGGCCGCCGGCAAGATCGTCCTCATGGGCCACTCGACGGGCAGCCAGGACGTCCTGCACTACCTGCACTCGCATCCCCCAACCCGGCCGGCGGTCGATGGGGCGATCATGCAGGCGCCCGTCTCGGATCGCGAGGCGCTGCTGGTCAAGATCCAGGACGCCGACACCTTGAAGCAGAATGAAGTGCGGGGCGCCTACGAGCAGCTCGTGCAGATGGCGCGCTCCGGGCCCGCCACCTTCCTCCTGCCCATGGACTTGCTCGCCCGCGTGGGCCTCCCCGAGAACACGCCGGTCACGGCGCAGCGGTTCTGGAGCCTGGCGAGTCCCGACAGTCCCCAGCGGCCGAGCGCGGATGATCTGTTCAGTTCGGATCTGGGCGATGAGAGCCTCGCGGCGACGTTCGGGAAGGTGACCGAGAGGGGGCTTCTGAAAGGGAGGTTGATGGTTCTGTTCTCGGGGGCGGACGAGTATCTGCCCCCCTGGGTGGATGTGCCGGGGTTGATGGGGAGGTGGAGACAGGCCGTGAATGTTGGGGGCCAAGATCTCTGGGATGATGAGGGGAGTGCAGCCATTGAGGGGGCGAGTCATAATGTGAGTGACGTGGGGCAGGAGGAGCTGGTGCATCGGGTCAGTCTGTTCTTGGAGAGAGTTGAGAAGCAAACCTGAACGCCGTGGAGAGTTATCTGCACCAATATCTTCCATTCGGCCAAGAGCCAAGGAGGGGAGGAGAAGTCCCTAAAAATGTACATACTAGAAGAGAGCAAGAACAACAACGGGGGATTTTCACGGACAAGAAAAGACAACGGAGGGTATAGTTAGATGATAGATGGTAAAACAAGTCCAAGTCAATTGCAGCAACCCCCAAAAACAGATTCGGTCGAGAAACAAAGCGCCCACCCCCTCAATACCGAACAATCCCCCACAAAGCCCATTTTGTGTGAGATCTCCGTTCTAAACCTTCAACCACAGAGTCATCACCCCCTTCAAATACTCGACAATCTCATGGCCGCCCAGCTTACTCTCGCCGAACAGCCGATCCACGAAGGTGATGGGACACTCGGCGACCTTGAACCCCATGGCCTTGGCGCGGACCATCATCTCCATCTGGAAGCTGTAGCCCTTGGACTGGGTGCTGTGGATGACCTTCTCGAGCACGCTCTTCTTGTACAGCCGGAAGGAGCCGGTCAGGTCGCTGACGCCGGGCATGAGCATGACGTCGGCGATGAGGTTGGCCGTGCGCGAGGTGAACTTGCGGAACAGGTCCCAGCCGTAGACGCCGCCGCGGATGGCGCCGCGGGCGGCGTAGCGCGTGCCCGTGACGATGTCCGCGTCCGTCTCGCGCTGGATGTCGATCATCGTCGGGATGAACTTCGGGTGGTGGCTGAAGTCCGCGTCCATGATGATCACGTAGTTGCCCGTGCAGAACTGCAGCCCGTGGATGTACGCCGTCCCCAGCCCCAGCTTGCCCGCCCGCGGCTTCAGGATGATGTGCTCCGCGCCCCAGTGCTGCTGCAGCTGCTTGGCCACCTCCAGGGTGCCGTCCGGCGAGCCGTCGTCCACGATGATGACTTCCCAGTCTAGCTTGCTGTTTTTCGATTGAATGGTCAGTTTCGTTTTCTGAGAAATGGGGGAGAAAGCAGGATGTGGGGGTGGGGAAGGGAGGTAGGTCGGGAAGAAGAGGAGGGGGGAGAGGTGTAAGGGAGGTGAAGAAACTCCCTCAATTCGAGATAATAATTGGAGAAGATGACCGTAGAGTGATTGGGGATTTGAACGCACTTCTCGCGAAACATCCGCTCCAACAACCAACAGATGATAGGGAGGTTCTTCCGCTCATTGTAGGTCGGCAGAATGACCGAGTACTTGTTCGTCGAGGCACCCATGGTTCTGTTTTGTGAATGTTGCCAGTAGATAATCTGCGAATCGGTCAAGGGTTCGGATCCGTGCTCCCAGACACAAAAAATAGATAAGATCAGGAGGTAAAAAAGGAGTGAAGGTCAGCAAAGTGCTGGGGAGAAGGAGAGTAAGAGTGAAAGAGTGAAAGCGACGCGGCGCGGGCTGGACTTGGCGACGAGGACGGACGGACTACTAACTGGTGCGGGAGATCCGCATTCGCATCCATTCAACGTGGCCAGTCCAGGAGTTGGACTAACGACTTGTCCAGTTGTTTCACCTCGGTTCAACTGGCTCACTTACCTTGCCGTTCCTGCGCTGGTCGTTGTTTTACATGACTAGTACGGAGCAACTTAAAGCTACATACCACTTCTTCCCTCAGTCGATTATTCAGTACGTTGCACAAGAAGAAAAAAAAAAGGCAATATTTTTAATCCGTTAGGATACATAGAAATACATGGCCAATTCAATTCGTCTCTCAATGCGCTGTAACTCCCAACCTTGACTTATTTCTCCACCTGGTTATACGCGTGATCGTACCGTTGGTCCATCTCCCGGTTATGTTTCTTCACATCTTCCGATGCATTGTCTCCCACTGTTCCATCGACCTCGGCATTGGGCGAGTTCTCGCCGTCGGTGATGGTCGGTCTGGCCTTGTTGGATGGTGTAGTCTTGCTGTGGCTCTTGTTTTCGACGCCTGTGCCAGTGCCATGACCGGTGTCCTTGCTGCCACTGTTGCTGCTGCCGCCGGACTGCTGGGACTTCTTCGACGAGCCACCAACATCTGGGGCGGGAGGGCCTATTGTGGCGAAGGCATTAGTTCATTCTGTCCCATCAAAGTGCTTTTCTTTTTTCTTTTTCATGATCTTCAAAGGTGAAGCTACTCACCCGGATGTTCGAGGTCTCGGGTAGGCTCGTTGCGGGAGGAATTGGGCTGTTCAGCCTTGGTCTCGCCCTCGCCGCCGTAGGAACTATGAGCGTAGCCGCGCCAGGGCTGGATGGGCTGGGAAGTAAGACGCGATGCTGGTCGGAGCAAGGGAGAATAGCTCGCACGAAGCGATAGTCTGCTGCTGCGAAGTATGGAAGCCATGATGCTGGTGTGAGGTGAGATGACTGATGACAATAAGGCAAACGTAATAGCGATAGATGATGTACAGTATAGAATTGCGGTCGTTCTGATATAGATCGAAAATTTAATTAACTTCAATACCTCAGGGACTGCCCTCTTTATTTAGTACTCATAGCAAATGGCTTAGTCGCCCCCGGATGATCAAGTGGTGATCGACTTCGACAGGGAGGGGGGATGCAGACGATGACGTTTGCATCCGGTCATCTTTCCAAACCCCAACCATTGCGCAACCACCGGTTGCATCGCCCCTGGCTAGATTCGGGCACGTAAGGGCGCAAAAGAATTATGAATGTAAGTATAACAGCTTGTGTAGCACAGTCCACGAAGAGATTGTTTCAGCTTCGCAGCCCGTGTAAAGCAAACAGTAGATTCAGACCATATTACCAGAACATGTCGAAATGCCAACCAAATTCTCAACGAAAACATACCCATCCTTGAGGCAGGGTCAGAGTAGAAAAACAATGATGAAGAGGATATCCGGTTCCTGGACATACGCAGGCCTTATAAACAGAGATTGAACGGAGTCTCCTGGCCGCATTATAGCTGTCCTTCCTTGCACCGTTTGACCCCCTTTCCAATATCAACGCCCAAAAAACCCCCTTCAAAACTATCCATAGCGATGCAGAAGCGGACGACGATTTGTCGGCCGCATTAAACTGAAACAAACAACCACCGGGACAAATAAGACCCAGTTGGTATACATAATATGCACGCCATAAGAGAACAAAATGTATCGGAACATCCTTCATGCCCAAGGTGAAAAAGAGGTGGGTTAACCTTGAGACTAATCAAACATTCGTATGCACGTTAAGAGCTGGATGGAAGCGGCTCCCTCAGTTTTAGTAACGCCAACGCCTTTGGTTCCGCAGATAAACAAGTGCTTCGTTGTAGGCTGGCAGCCCAGAGATGCCAGATCGGCTATATCAATCGGTCAATGAAACGCAGTAGCAGACGCTCTGGTACTCGGCCTTCGCTGTATAAGTTTGTGTCGAGCCGGTGACTTGGATCGTTGTTGTGGGAGTAGGCTGTAACTCTTTGACCTGGACAGTCTCCTGGGATATGGGACCAACTGACCCGTCATCAAGCACTTGCATCTGTTGACAATAAGGACTAGGGGCACCAGGGTATTCTCGTTTCTCTTCCATCTTGATCCGGCGGGGATAGTCGGATACTGCATCCCGCTTAGAATTCGTGTTTGTGTTTGAACTGGACCCCGAACCCGAGCTCGAGCCAGAGCCTGAATTCGAACTCGAGCTACCTCCTGTAGCTTGGACGTAACTCGATGACGTGGCGGTCGCGCTGTATTGGGCATCCTTGGTGGTCTCATTGATGTATAAGAAGAATTCGATTATGGTACTGTTCCACCAGCAGAACCACGGCTTATCTCCTGCTTTGGCTACATCCTTGCGAACAAGCATGGTAGCCAACAGTTCATCCTCGGACAATGAGCGTTTCGATGACGCGTGCGTTGGGAATGAATCTTGAGGCACCACGACCAGCTTGTCGAAGGTGGTCCAAAAGTGCAAAGCGGGTCCGAAACTGGCATCGTTGAGGTCATATGCCATTGAAAGATTCTGTGTCGGGTTGGAAAGAACCGGTGCTTGAGCTCCATAGCTAAGACTTGACGAGTACGTAGTATCTTCAAACGTGATCGAATGTTGGCTGTCTGTGCCTCCAACAGCGACAGGGATATCTCCCGAATTCATGCAGGACCATGTAACTCGGTAATCCGACTCCGCGACGCAAAATTTGGACTGGTTCTTCGGAGATGCCGGAATAACGTATTGGCCAGTAGGCAGGGCCAGCAAGTTGATTGGTGTAGAAGTAACCGGAGTCGCATCCATCTTTGGGGTGACAGTTGACGTGACAATATGCGGGCCGCTGGGCTGCTTGTGTTCCTGATCCGCTGCCTTCTTCGCTCCGAGCACACCACCAATGACACCTCCAATGCATCCTCCCACAAGCATTACCACCCCCACCAAAACGATCGTCCAGATGGGCAGGCCGCAGCAGGCTTTCTGTTTACCCTTTCTCTTTAATTTCTCTTCGAATGCCATGATTCCGGTTAGCGGAGGCTCTTCAGATTGTGAGTTACTTCGTGCACTCATCCGGTTTGGTTCCTCCAAAGGGACATTTATTGATGTAACCTCCGACATGGGTGGACCTGCACGCTCATTGTGGAGGGTCTCGTCCGACGTGATGCCAGCATCATTGACGGACGCAAACGTCCCCTCTACCTTGGGGACGGCATTTTCAGGATAGCGGGAGTAAGGTGGAAGCTGTTCTGTATGTCCATCAGGGCCAATTAAATCCCCGACGTCATCATCTGCCCGGCCGGGCGGTCGTTGGTATGCTTGGTTGTGGCCGGGAAAGCCAAGGGGGACCATGGAGTTGTCCATCATAGTAGGAGGTTCCAATATCGCATTGTCCATGGCACTGTCCAAGTCTTCCTCCGGGACCACATTCTGGGTGTACATCGCATACGGATGTTGCGGTCCACTGGCATCTTCCAACGGTTGGTCCCCGGGGCGTAAAGTTGATGCGGTCGCTACACTTGGGGAGCGACTGACACCGACCTGCGGGTACATCGCATATGGATGGCTGGGACCGGTTGCCCCAGTGTAAGGACTCATGGCCCGAACGGGTATCGAAAAGCGCGACGAGATACTCTGACTGCGAGCTGTGGTGGAAGGTGTAGTAGACGCGACGGAATTGCGATTCGCAAAGTCCACCCCCTTAGGAGGAAGACTCGACCGGTGCGGAGTTTCATCGAATGACACCCGTGCCTCATCCCCGAAAGGATCCTCCGTCAGATCCGCATCGATGGGAATGGTGTTGTAGGTTTTCTGCTGCGATTGTTGCTGTTGAGGCACTGATCCGCGTAGGGTATTGGAGGAATTGGTGGAAGAAGTGGATGGACGTCGAGAAGTGAAGGTAGTGTGTTCAGAGTCAAGGGGTTCGAGTGAGTATTCATCGGAAAAGACGTTAGGATTGGAGGAGCGAGCCGAAATTGAGCGGCGATGCATTGACTCGACTTCGTTCACCGGGCTAAAGCGTGGCGTTGATCGTTGAGAGGATTGCGAGAAAGAGCGAGAATGGTCGGATGATAGACGCCCAGACATGGCGATGGACAGCCCTGTCGGGCTACCTATCTGATTTGGTCAACCTCTCAGGAGGAAACCGGGTCAGTCACCTGAGTGGACTGAGAACCGGGGAGAATGGGAGGCGCCGAAAAGAGCGACGAGGGGGAGGGAGAAAGGAGAGAATGGTCGGCGAAAGAATGATGAGAGGGATGGAGAGTGGGTGCCTAAGGGACTGTCGAGAGGAGACGAGCGAGAGAGATAGTCGAAAAGGCGAAATAACAACGAACCGAGATGAGGTGGTAGAAGGTAGTGGTAATCGTGGTTAGGTTAGGAGGGTAGAAGGGAGGGTAGTGGTGGTGGTGGTAGTTAGTGGTGGTGAGAGTGGAGGTTGAATGAATGAGAGGGAGGGAATCACTACTACTAGCCGCTTGAGGAGAAGGAAGAGGGAGGCCCGGGGAGCGGGCGAGGATGAGGTGAGACTACCTAAGTAAGTTCACTACTCGTACCGACTCAGTAGAAGAGGGCGTCCGGACTGCCTGAGGAAGAAAAGGACCGTTCCCGACCGGGACTAGCGCAAGCTTTTCCCGGGCGAAACTGAAAAGTCACTCAATGACTGGGAACGAACGAAAAGAGAGGGCAGAAAAAGTGGGTTTCAGTTTTTGGAGACAGTCCCAACTCCCAAGTCGATCCCCGGTCGGGGTTAGGTTAGTCCTGGCTGCAAAAGTTGGAAATTTTGGTTGTACGCAAAGTCAGGACAAAATACTTCATCGTGGATGAAGTACTGTACAGAGTACTACAGAGTACAGAAAATTATTTACAGAACGATTAACACACATACGCCTGATTACGACGATTTCTATTCTCATCCGGGGGGTGGTTCTATTATTATGAATTTCGGATGTCTCCTGTTTACTCAGGGCTGCTGCGCCTCGCCACCGCAAGTACATGTAAAGCTTAGGTTACTACGGAGTAGGGAGGAGATAAGTAAAGGAACAACAGTATTCGTACACTGCTTTTGCCTGTAACAGACTAAACGTCCAGTAGCTGCTCTGTATCTGTATTGAAAACAAGTGGGCAGGTGGGCAGTGGGCACTTCAAGTAAGGTACAAAACACCACTACTCAAAGGACCACTTGTAGTCTCACAATGGTGACGGCCAGGCAGAATGGCCCTAGGTAGGGCGATTGATACTCGGAAATACTCAGTACGTAGCAAGCTTGGATCGAATCGTTCAGCATTGATAATCCGACACATCATGAATTCTCGAAAGCCTTAACAAGTTGACATGAGGGAAGGTAGAAAATTGAGTCGACCGAAGTGAAACATCTCCACTGCAGTGTCGTCAGAGGCGCTTTCACAAATCGACTGACAGGCACTTTCGAATGCTAGCGATTTGACTTTCCAACGGATAAAGAATTTGTCTTCTCCCACACAGTGGACTTTACCTCTCGTCAAACAGCCCAGTTATATGGAACCGCCAGGGACAAGAGATCTGTCCATCATCCCCTTTGGGCAACAATCGCCCAAACTCGGACGACTTCCATCTGGAATCATGGACGAGGGTAGATTTGGGGGGAAAATCAACCCTAACCTGACTATCGACCATTGGTTTGGATGGGGGAAGGGGGGCAAGAAGGCCTCACTCAGCAGCAGCATAGTCTATGTAGTCTACGGAGTACTGTAGGAGCAGGTTCAGGCTTCCAGCAACAAGGGATTGGTTTAAGGTGGAACCGCCAGAACCGTAGCCGATTAGTTCCAAAAGATAGCGCAGTGCCTGGCACCGAAAAGTCTATCTGGCCGAATTCGGAAACGCGGGCGTGAACCCTTGATTGGCACCCAATGCTATGATCAGCGCACATTGCATCATGACCCTCTCCTTCCACAGCTGGATGGTTTTGACCGGCCATTATATCACCTGGTATGAGAAAGCGGTTGCTTGTCTGGCCGTTTGCATGCTTGACCTGAGAACGGCCCATACTGGCCTTGGATTTGATCTCTTGACCGTTCGATTGATCCCTTCTACACGTGGCACTGGTGTTCTCCCTAGTCTGGGTAGAGATTAATTGTGGGTAGTGACTCGCTACCGTGCACAGGGTCTTGTCGGGTGTGGCTTCAGGGCCAGAGAACGAACCAGGGCTCTGATGCTGCGATTCAGCCAGCAACCACTAACCACTGTCTAGATGCGCGGGTACCTTTTTGAAGAGCGAGAGAAAGAAAATGGAAGGGGAGGAAACATTGGTAGACAGGGAAAACAACATACAGTCCAGACCTTGTCATCATAGCTGCGACAACAACCTAGAGATCCCTATCCCCGACCCAACCGTTCAATGAAGAGACAATGAGCTAATACTGCCGAGCAGAGAAAGTCGAAGCAGTTGCCTGGCTGTCTTTATAGCAATGGCCCACAGGGCAGGCCTTTTTGTCAGCAACAGTGGTTCTACTTTATAATGATCTAGGCCTTCCCCCGTTGGGGCTAGATATCTGATGCGAATACTCCGTATTCCGCACTCGGGACCAAAGTCGCAATATCTACAACCGACAAGGGCAAGGCTCATCTGACTTCAGATGCAGAGACTCTGGGTCCGAACCCGCCGCTGCACATGTGCTTCTAGTGCTCATTTTGGCATTCTCGTAGCGAAGAGGGAAAGCGACACCCGCAAGGCCTACAGCGCGATTTGGACAGTCCAGTACCCTGTCAGTACATGTGCCGACAAAGTTGGTTGAAGATCCTTGAGTTCGAGCTAGTCTTCAAGCTCAGCCGAGATTGGGCCAACAAAATCGGAAGATATAGGTAAACAATGAACGCGGTATGAAGCGCCTGTTGTTATCAAAGCGAGTCGGATGACGGCGCCTATGAGACTGAGCTTAAAACTGAATATATGTCACATTTATCATTCATGATTGTTTCGCTAGCTCGAAATTGGAGAAAGCTTTAGTAGGTAGGTATATGCCACTCACTGCCTTACATGTTTAAATTCTTGAGGAAGATTCATGGCGATTGATATCGATGGTCGTAGAACACAGTCATGTGGATTACTCAATACATCCGCCACTAATTGAACGCGGAGATCATCTATAGAATGGTATGAGTAGATTTCGAGGTTACCGCCGTGGCTGATTAATAAGACAGTCAGATAATTGCTCACTAAGCGGGATTTTCCGATTCCACTGTATGAGTAGCAAGTGAGTTTGTCCACTCATATGGCAATTATTGTCCGAGAGGCATAGGTTGAGCAAACAATCTATCCTCCTATGACTGGTTGAAGGCTGGTCGTTCCTACGATACAAAGTGCCAGGGCACCAAGGATGCACCGCAACAGTGGATCGGGCGGTGGAGACTTTCTGGTCAGACTTGGCCAGTCCCATTGTGCAGTCGGGTAGGACCCAGGATATGTGACAACAATCCTCGACATAAATTCGGTATGTCTTGCGCATGGAGAAAGGAGACGAATTGGACAATGTCTATTGGAGTTTCCCAGACAGAGAGATAACGTGGCGGCCCACCAGAAATGCATGTTACAACTCAGTTCAACTACTCATACCCATCAAATGCTTCTGATTTCAGGCATCCTTCCTAGATAAGTATCCTGGATAATTGCGGGGAAGGATGAAGACACATTAGGTAAATTGAACGACACTGGGATGAACGGTCTTGCTATTTTTCCCCCTCTCGAATTCTGTCGGCACTTGAACTCATCCGCAATTAGAAGATAGTCATGGGACAAGCCTATATCGTCGAATTAGCGACAGATGTCGAAAATCGAATTTTTGCATGGGCGTTCTATCATGCCCAGCCTGGTGTTCGGACTGGCCTACTTTAGGTGGATCGGACATAGGGCTGTCTGTCTGCCTGCCCCTCATGGTCTGCCTCGGACTGAACTCCCAGCCCATTCTAGATCAATCAGCCCACCACCGAGATCGGTCCAGATTACAATTGCTACTGGTTACCACATTCCAAGGCTAGACAATCGCGATTGTTCCCAACCCACTAAGGTCCCCCCGTACTCTCCTTCCGCAGATTCGCCGATCAAGCACCGAACAGTTGCTTTTGCATCATACTGGGTCCGGGGACCCAAAGGCCATAACCATCCGGGCTCACTGGAGGGCACCGGTGGTCCTCTTGCGCAAACAGGTCTATCCAGACCTGCCTGTCTTCTGTCGCCCATCGAAACTTTCTCTCGGCTCTTAATGACCGTATGGGACAACACATGAAAATGGCAATGCGTGGCCTGCGGAGTAAGTGTTCATCAAGCCGCTACTGCTGTCGAATCCCACAGGCCGTGTTGCCGCCGGGACAGAAAGTTTCGGCACTGAACGGATACATTCTCATTCAATGCGATATGTTTGACACATATGTGTGGTAGGATAATATGATAGGTTCATCCGAGGACAAGACTTTCTGTAGGGCCTGAAACGAGGGGGTGGGGCTGTCATCACAACGCATTTGATCGGCGCCAGTCCAGAACGCTCGGTCTCGCGCGATAGCAAGGACTCTCCAATAACGTCACCTAGGTTCGATGATTCAAGTATGCAATGAAAGAAACTAGACAATACCACAAATTTAGCTACGTGATGTAAGTTAATGTACAGGGGGGGGGGGACTTCGTCAGCTGTTGCTGAATCGGCCTATTGCCTAATCCCAGCCTGACAAGGCCCGTCTCGTCACATACCCAGTCATTGTTAAAATTGTATCTACAATCACGACTGTCTCTTCAGAGCTAGAATATCAGATAATCTGACTGGTCCTTTCTGGCCCCAGCCTCCTGTCCCACTCTGAACTGCCGGCCGGACACGCAAGTACCAGGCCCATGCACGTCGGTCCAATTCGTCCCTGGCGAGACTGGAAGCCCAGGACTGGCAGACAATGTGAATGGCGTGTAGAAGATGCGCGAGACATTCCTCCTTTTCTGCTTCCAGGAGGGAGGCATTCTTTGCGGCTGTCCTGCGTGAGGGTACGTCTTCATCAGAAGCCTTGGTGAATGCCTTATGCAAATATGATCGTGCTGAATCAGGAGTGAAGATAGACAAAGGCTTGTCCACTTTCACATCCTGGTCTGAGCTCTGGGCTTTCCGCATGGCCTCCGTATCAATACCCCAGAGTGGCGGTGCCCTGCCTGATTCGTCCTGGGACACATGTCCCAAAACATCATCGGATACGACAGGAGTGTTCGCATCCGGCTCAGTGCCTTCATTCGGCGGCCGACCCTCTCTTGAATCATAGTCCCATCTCTTCAGCACCTTCACCTCTCTGCCCAAGATCTTCACTACCGGCTGGCCCTCTCCCCATCCTTCTGCTTCAGGGGAGGGCTCACTCTCAATGCCCAAGCTCACGGCTTTCGATCGACTGTTAGCACTTACCACAGCCTGAGCAAGACTCAGTCTGCTAGAAATCGGCTGCTCGGGCATTGTATATCTTAACACGCACACAGCAAATGCAAGCACGAGTGGTGCTCGGTTTGTGATCAGGGTAATGTTGGACAGATCTTCTTCTGGAATACTCGACTCGGGAAGAGCCAGCGCACATTCTGTGTCAAAGGGGGTGCTGGATTCAATTGTGCGAGAAGAACCTTTGACTCTTTTTGAGGGAGCCGGGGTGTCTTCAGCAGATGAGCCTCGCTTTTTGCACACTCTCTTCGCGGCGTTTATGACTTGTTTGGCCAGCTTGTCATCCTTAAAGATGTCCTGGAGAACTTCGAGTTCTGATTTAGAGATCTGCTCAGGACTAGGCGACTATCAGATGAATTGCTATTTTTGTATTCGGAATGTAAAACAGGTCATACGTTATTAGGGCGGCCTTCTGAAGTTCCATGACTTTACCCATTGCGGACGCAAGTGGCACTTTGGCATCCTGTGATAGGAAGCGAAGTAGAGATTGTACCTGAGCCGCCGCCATTGTAATCAAAAGGTAATCAAAATGTAATTGAAATGAAGATTTCGATGCAACCTGAGGGGATTTGAATATGCAGTATGCAGGATAGAGAGAGGACAGATGCTTGGCTGAGGGGAGAGTGAACTTACTCATACTTTCTTCCTTAGAAGCGTATTTCCTGCCTTAGGCAACAAACCAGCAGCCTCCCGCCTCCGCTCCGATCAGCTTCCACCCGCAGGTAAGGTGCTCGTAACTCCGCGCTTCATTGTCTCAACTTCCGTGGTCTCCGCAACAAGGAACCCTGCTGCGACCGCAGCCTCGTCACCATGTCGGACGACTCCAAATCGAAAGCCTTCCCCGACATCTCAGCCAAATTATCGGCTATTCCCAAAAAATCGTTGTTCGAGCGCCAAAAGGCCGAAGCCGAAGCCAAACGAGCCCGAGAGCAAGCCGAAACCGCGGCTGTTTACGAGGACTTTGTCAAGTCGTTCGAGGATGACTCGCACGGCGGCCCCGACAGACCCTCTGCCGATGGACGACTGAACCGCTTCCCACATAAAAATCAAGGGTTTGCAGGTGGCCCTGGTAGACGGCACTTCACGGGCTCCGGTCCGCGCCTGAGCGGGCCTGGCACGCTGGGACCCCCTCCGCCGTCGCTGTCGCGAAAGCGCAACCACGAAGGCTTCCCGCCAGCGCAACGGAACCGAGACACCGCGCAGGGGATTCTGGGCTTTGACAATACCGGCCCGGGCCCGTCGGCTGCCGCGTCCGCGTTCCGCGCGTCTGACGATGAGGACGAGGCGACTGCCGATGCGAAGGAGGCGGAGAGGGCGGCGGCCAAACCAACGCTGTACCTGGCCTCATTGCCTCCTGGGACGTCCCCGTCGGTCATCAAGTCGATCATCCCCTCGCTTCTGACGGTAGATAATGTCAGGATACTGCATTCGACTCTCCAACTGGCCTCGACCGATCGCAAATCGATCGCCGCCATCGTGACTCTTGCAAATGAGTCTGCCGCCTCGGATATCGATAGCACGGTTAGCGCTCTCCAGAACAAATACCTCGGCTGGGGATACTATCTGTCGATCTCGAGGCATCTGTCCTCTGCGGCTATTAGCTCCACAATGCCGGTGACTGTCAGTCAGTCCTCGACAAGCCCCCTGCCATTTGGGGCCAAGTCTACCCAGCCAGATATTCCCGGACGCTTGAATCGAGCCCCGCCTCCTGGGATGCACCGCGGTGGGTTTGCACCGCCAACGTCGTATAATCCTGCATTCGGGCGCAGCGGCCCGACGACACAGGTTGAGGTCAAAGCACCGTCAGACCTCAAGCAGCTGAGACTGATACATAAGACGCTGGAGAATCTACTGAGCTATGGTCCGGAGTTTGAGGCCTTGCTTATGAGCAGGCCGGAGGTTCAGAGGGATGAGAAATGGGCCTGGATCTGGAACGCCCGGAGCGCTGGCGGTGTCTACTATCGGTGGAAGCTATGGGAAGTCTTGACCAACAGTCGACCTACCGGTGGTCGACGGGGCCGGTTTCAACCTCAAACCCCATCACTTATCTTTGAGGGTGGTGCAAACTGGGTTCCGCCCGAGGCTCATATCAAATTCGAGTACACTACCAACATGGATGAGTTCGTTACAGACGACGACTACGATTCGTCCGACGAAGAGATGTCGGACTACGAAGATGAGAGACGTGTGGCCGGGGGAGCACCGCCAGCGGAAGGACCGGGCGCTGGTAACGAGGGGTTGGGATACATGAACCCTCTTCAGAAGGCCAAATTGACCCACCTACTCGCTCGGCTGCCAACCACTCACGCCAAGCTACGAAAAGGAGATGTTGCCCGTGTTACTGCTTTTGCCATTGAACATGCTGGGGCAGGGGCTGAGGAGGTTGTGGAGATGATTGTTTCCAATATCATCAAACCCTATGCCTTTACGGGGGCCAATCCGGACCGTGAAGCTGAACAAGGACTTGCTCGTAAGGAGCAATTTGGAGAATCCGGCAACGACAACACAGTCGAGGATGGGCGGACGGCCTCGAAAACTCTTGACACGTCCTCTGCTAAGCTGGTGGGTCTGTATCTCGTGTCAGATATCCTCTCGTCTTCTGCCACAAGTGGTGTGCGCCATGCCTGGCGATACAGACAGCTTTTCGAGTCGGCCCTGAAGACGCAGAAAGCATTCGAGCATCTTGGTAGATTAGAGAAAGACTTCGGCTGGGGTCGATTAAAAGCCGAAAAATGGAAGCGCAGCGTTGGCTCTCTTCTCAACTTATGGGAAGGTTGGTGCGTGTTTCCGCAGTCGAGCCAGGAGCAATTCGTCCAGATCTTCGAGAAGCCCCCCCTCACCGAAGAAGAACTGCGAGAAGAGAGAGAGAAGGCTGAAGCCGAACGAGCGGCGAGCGCGTTCTCCAAGAACAAAAACCGCTGGAAGGCAGTTGACGAGGATTCAGCTTCTGGAATGTTCGATCCCAGTCGCGCTGCGGTAGCCGAGCCGGATCGCATGGATGTCGACCAGGTCAAACATGAGTATGCAGCGGCGGAGACTCTGGACGAGGTGTCAATGAGCGACATTGACGGCGAGCCAATGGAGGACAGCGACCTGGATTTATCGGATGGTGAGCCATTGGAGGAAGATCCTCTTGAGGATGAGAGCGAGCTGAACAAACCACCGCCGGAGAAAGCAGCTGAAGCGGCAGCCCAACCGCAACCGCAACCTCAGCCTCCAGTGCGCAAACCACGGCCTAAAGCAGAGGATATGTTTGCAGACTCAGACTCGGAGTGATTATAGCGTTCAACAAACAAGCGGATTACTACCAGTAAACAATGCTTCAGGGAAGCATAGACACGAATACTGTACAGAGCGATCGAACAATGTATTGAGTAGCACCATTTACCATTCGAGGCCCGGATGAATGCCTGACAAAAGGTTAAGGCAGCAATCTCCTGAATGGGTAAAGTGGGCTTGCCCCACAACCCCCTCGCGACGGAAAGACTTTCGGTGTTGATATCAACCTCGTCTCTTCCCCTCGTTTCTATCCCATAGTCCTATTCCCCCCTCAGCCCGCTCTCTGTTTCTAGCCAGTCTCCGTTGTCTTTGCAGACTCCCAACCGTCAAAATGTGTAAGTGAATTCTCTCTCTCCGCTATTCAACATGTCTTTTCCATTACTCATCCCCCCGCCAATGTTTTGCTGCCCCTCCATGAGGCTCTGTCGGGGGAACCCCTCCATTCCCGGCTGCCAATCTGCACCTCAAGTTGCCAGAAAAGAGACTAATGTGATGCGAACCGATTTCTAGCCGCCTTCACTGAAATTGCCCGTATGTGATTATGATGCTCCGATCTATCCTCGCAGAGCCCAGCTCCCCTGTCTCTCTTCGACACCACCGATGAACTTTCGGTCTAACCGCGGCCCAACAGAACAATTCGTCCAATTTTACTACCAGACCTTCGACGCCGACCGCTCCTCCCTGGCCGGACTCTACGTATGTCCCGCGCATCTCTCTGCTCAGACGCAAGACGACTAACGCAATGGATCTTCGTCTCACAGCGCGACCACTCCATGCTCACCTTCGAGACCAGCTCGATCCAGGGTGTTTCCAGCATCGTTGAGAAGCTGACCGTGAGTTCCACATGAGACAATCCTTGGAGAAGATGAAGGCCAGGTTGACTAACTCATTGCCATGTGCTTTGTCCCGTTCTGCAGAGCCTCCCCTTCCAGAAGGTCGTCCACAAGGTCAACACCCTCGACGCCCAGCCCTCCAGCCAGGATGGTAGCATCCTGGTCATGGTCACCGGCGCTCTCTTGGTATGACTACTCCTCCCGACTCAACCCATCGATGATGTGCACATCAGCTCCCACGAACCCGCCGAACCCCTCCCAAATAAAACTAACCAATTTTCAAACGCCACAGGTCGACGAGGAGCAAAACCCCATGAACTACACCCAGAGCTTCAACCTTATCCCCGAGAACGGCAGCTACTACGTCCAGAACGACATCTTCCGTCTGATCTACAACGCATAAATGGTTTCACTATTGTTTTGTTAAGTATAAAGCGTCGTCGCGCGGTGGGAAGGAAACGCGAAGGAAGGGAGGGGAAAGGGCATCAGGCCTGCGAACGGTTTATTTTTCTTCTTCTTTCCTCCGAGAGGGGGGGGGGGGAACTGGTCATAGTCCGCAGATATATGCCCTTTTGAAACGAAGATAATGAATCATTTCAAATTTCTCAGGCTTTGGGGCGAAGAGTGCGAGTGGGGATCCGAGGGGCAGGTTTATCTTGCTTTGCAGCGCGCACCCTCAATCATTCTGGATTGCATGCTGCGTGTCGGTTTTGGGATTTGCCTTTGACTCCAGCGTCTCTTCGGGGAGAAGCTCTTTTTTTTTGGACCCTTATAGTTCTCTTATGGTTGGTCTTGGTGTGTGTGTTGATACTGTGGTTCGTAATTGGGGAGGTGGAGGGGCAGATCTGGTACTTTCTTGGGTGGTGACCTTGTATTCGTGCCCTGTTTGTGTCTCATGATGCCTAATGTGTAATACGCTTGCTTCTGAGTCTAAGATACGACTACGCGGACAGACAGAAACTACTAAGCGTATACAACATATATATCCAAGCCAATAGAAAGGGGGGTGCATAAACGCCTTTCAAGGAAAACAGACAACCCAGAACCCCCCTCAAGAGGCCATTGTGATATACAACCAGATAACCTGTTGAGATTTACATCTATCATAGGATCCCAAACCCCCATAGATCTCACCCCGAGTGACACCGAAAGCTTTCACCCCCCAAGAAGCGGCGTCTCCTCGGACGGCTGATCCCGGCCCTGGCTCTCCTCTCCATCTTCTGCTTCAACACCACGGCCCGGGCCCGGTCCACCATTAGTGGGATTCTTATTCGCGGCGTCGCCTTCATCGTCGTGGCCGTGGCCCTTGTCGGGACCCAGGTACTCGAACCACACGCCCAGGGCCAGCAGCGTCCCCTGCAGACAGGCCGTGACGATCAGCACCCCCCAGGTACTCCATCCGGCGCGGCCCAACCGCGCTGCCAGGCTGCCCGCCCACACGAGACTGCCGGGCGTCTGGATGCACATCATCGGGATGCTGAGGCTGCCGACGCAGCGGAGGCGCAGCGTCGTGTAGATCTGCGGGAAGTACTGGACCGAGGCGAGGAGGGCGGCGAGCACGCCGCAGAAGTTGGACCAGGATTGGAGGGCCGCGGGCCGACGGAGCCCGACGGCCAGGGTGGTGATGAGCATGACGAGGGCGTGGACGATGCAGATCCCTGCGACGGTGAGGGCCGTGCGGTAGGTTGGGGTGGTCGGGCGGTGGTTCATGCCGTAGTGCTGGTGGCGCGGGAAGAAGAGGACGAAGAGGACGAGGCTGGTTTGTGGTTGCGTGGGTTAGTTTATGCCTGCGCGTTAGACGAACGGGGGGAGGGGTGCTTGCTTACATTAGGAAGAAGCAGAGACATTGAGTGCCGACTTGGAGGATGCCTAGAATGGCGGAGAAGCAGCCTAGTCCGCTGATTTGCTTGCAGCACGACATGTCGTGGAGACTTTGTTGTTGGGAGACGACATTGGCGAGCGCGGACGAGCCGGAGGTCGTGCCTAGGAGGACGAAGTAGGGGGAGATTCCGAACGAGGATTTCAACGAAATGATCCGGATGTGCTGGGGGAGGTACGAGAGGAGGATGCCAAAGACGATTAGACTGGATGACTTGGGGTTAGAATCGTTGATTTTGTTGCTGTTGTTGCGGTTGTTATGTTGGTAGGTATGAGGGGAAGAACGTACATGGAGAGAATGAAATTCTTGTAGTCGGGCGAATCCAGTTGCCCGCATTGTAGGTTGAGGGAATCCATCTTGGTGAACAAAGCCGATTCTAGGATCGTCTGTGTATTGAGAAGGAGGCTGTTGACATGCAAGATGCTCGACGGGATGATGGGAGTTAGGGAGCGATGGGCGGTCTATGAGCCCGGTGCATAGGGGCAGGGAGTGCAGGTCGGGGGGGGCAATGAGACAGGAGAATTATTGGACTCTAAAACAGCATGTGTCGAACCAGCGCACACGCGTAGTAGAGAGGGTGGACAAACGAGGAGATGAAGGATGACTTGTCACTGATCGAGTGCTCGAAGGGGTGAGTGACTGAGCATGTACAGGATGATTGAATGCTTGAATGCTTTCCTTATCGTCCACTGCATCTCCGCATTCTATCCCAAAACGGTAAGGTCTGTTTGGATATCCATAAGTAGCTAGTGGAAGATCATGTGCCTTGCAGTACGACTCCATGGAAGAAGAACACGCTACACCTCGAAGATCGAAGGAACTAAGTATATGTAACTATATCATTCACAGGTCATTGCTGACCCGGTACGACAAAGAAAAGTAAAGTACTTCGTACTGGGAGCCACAACCAGCACACAGCCGAAAGCGCCCAGACGCCTCTGCCGACCGACCATGGGCCACCCATTCATCGATGACGCCAGCCGTCGACTGATGGACAGCTCCAGCAACCACATCACTACGTCACTCGGTGATCATCTCAGCGCCGCCTCCCTGATTCCATCCACAGCTCATTCTTTCTCTCACAACAATAAATTTATCCTCATCCCTGATCCTTTAACTTCTTCAATTCTCTCCCATTAACAACCGCTATCATTAACGACAGTAAGTGGTTCAGCAAAGCTGCAAAACCATAGAGGCAGCGATAAGCTAATCTTCAATCTCCTCCCGATAAGACTGATACGGCTATAATTTCGACCTTAAATCACATTTGAGCCATAATGAAGCTTCATTTGGCTTTCTGCCTAGTCTTCGTACTGGCAACAGTTGAGGCTGTCGGTGCATCCAGCTGGTTCAGCAAGGCTGGTATGTTCAAGTCGAACACATTGGATTTTACCTCGCTCGCTAATTCATCTCGACAGTATACAACAAATGGCACGAAACTGAGTTGGAAAGATGGCTTGCTGACCACGGTACGTTATTGACAATTCATGCGTTCTGGTGCGATCAGTGCTGATGATGCTTTCAGATATTCCTTATCCCTCGCCTGCCGATCGCAAAGATCTTGAGAGCTTGGTGAAGACAAACTGGGATGCTAAGGTTCAGAAGCCTTTGGGACATGCTGTGGAACAATCTCCGGATCACTGGCACAACGCTAAGGAGTGGCTCTTTGACACGTACGTGTATATCGATAATACTCCCCTGGCCTTAATTAGTATTAACATTCGTCCAGTTGGTCGGACTCCCAGCTCAAGGCCTTCCTTGATCGTCATGGCATTCCCGCTCCTCAGCCTCGCAAGCGTGACACTCTTCTCAAGGCTGTCCGTGAGAACTACGAAACCATTGCCCAAAAGCTCGGCGAAGCCGTTTCTTACCCCGGCAACTGGGTGTATGCTCAGTGGTCTGAGTCTGATTTGAAGGAGTGGCTCGATGAGCGTGGCTGGCCTGTTCCTCAGCCCTCCACTCGTGACAAGCTCATCGCCACCGTTCGCCGTAACGCCCGACTGGCTGGACTGCAGGCTAAGGCCATTGCTGCTTCTGCCTCTGCATCCGCCGACAAGGCCCAGGCTACTTTAAGTGAAGCTTTGTTCAGCGCTTGGTCCGACTCCGACTTGAAGAAGTTCCTCGATGAGCATGGTGTGAAGGTTCCTCAGGGCTCTAAGCGCAACGAGCTTGTAGCTCTGGCGAGGAAGCACCGTGCCTCTCTGGTCAGTCAGGCTTCGACTGCTGCTGCTACCGCTTCTGCAAGCCTCTCCTCCACTGCTAGTGAATTTATCGGCGCCGCCACCACCAAGGCTGGCAACGAGTACGCCCGCGCCACCGACGCTGCTCAGTATAAGGGCCAGGAGGCCTTTGACTCTCTTATTGAGTCTTGGTCCGATTCTCGTCTCAAGGCATATCTTGACGCCCGCGGTGTTCCCGTGCCTCAGAACGGCAAGCGCGATGAGCTCCTGGCACAGGTCCGTCTGAACGCCCACAAGGCTGCCACTGGCTGGACTGCATGGACGTTCGACACCTGGGACACTGAGCACCTGAAGAAGTATCTCGCCTCCATGAACTCGAAGGCTGCCCACCAGGCCGACATTACCCGTGAAGAGCTCGTCAAGCAGGCTCAGGACACCTATGCCCAGGCCTCCAAGGCTGGCGGCGACCAGCTGGCTTCTGCTACCTCTTACATGGCTCAGGCTACTGACGTCGCCAAGGACTCTGCTTTTGACCATTGGTCTCATTCCGATCTCAAGGCATACCTTGACTCGTATGGCATCCCCGTCTACCAGGGCTCCAGCATCAACGAGCTCAAGGCCGCGGCCCGCCGCAACGCTGAATACTTCCGACACGGAACCTCCACCCCTCAGGGTACCATCCTCGTTAAGCTCCAGGATAAGCTTTCAGATCTTTCCCAGTGGGTTTGGGAGCAGATCAAGGTTGGAGCCGCAAGCGGCAGGGCCCACGGACAGGAGGCCGCTGAGAAGGCTTCTGAGGTCGCGAAGGAACAAGCCAAGACGCAGGGCTTCAAGGCCGCGGACAAGGTGAAGACCAAGGGTGCTGAGGCTTCCGCGAGCCTGCGCAAGGAGTTGTAAAGTGTGATTTTCAGCAATCTGTGGGTGGATTACAAAGGAATTGGGGTATGATGGTGCTGGTGGGACATGATTTTATGACTTAACGTAATAGTTATTGGTTGGCAAATTAGTCTCGAAATTTACTTTATTTCCTCTTCTTAATATTTTCTGCTTCTGTACTGATATGATACGGTCTTTTTTTTCGAGGTTCGCCCAGATTTCTGTAGGAGACAAATTGGAGTATGACAAATTGAACCACCATAATATCATAATTCATCCAACCTACCGCCTGTCCGTCAATACCTTTGCACAGCACTCTGAATCCACACAATTTTTTCAATTCAATCACAAACAAACCAGCCCTACAGTCCGGCAGCCTTCTGTCCATCCCCCGCCCTATCTAAAGTATTCATTCCCCTCAACCCATGCTTACTTCATATACCACCCCCCAAGGTCTCGGTCTCGACTTAAGCCACCTCCTCCCCCTCCGCCACCAACTTCCCAACGACCAAGTACTTCTCCGAGAACCGCTCCTCCCATGACTGCAGATTCTCCACCTGGTCCGCGTCCAGATCCTCCAAGGTATCCAACGGCCCCTTCAAATCCTTGGTCAACATCTCCTCATCGAAGCTCTGGCACGCCAGACCGCGGGACGCGTCCCGCCCGGCGAAGTTCTCGTAGGGTCCGCCCTGTGGTTGCCAATCCCCACAGGGTTAGCCTTGGTGTAGAGGTGAAGCGTAATCGGGATTTTGGGAGGGACAAAGCTTACCGGTCCATAGAAGTTGCGGCCCGGGGTGACGTCGAAGACGCGGCCGCGCACGGCGAGGTAGACGGGTTGGTCGGCGGTGCCGTTGTAGGGCAGGAGCGTGGTCGGGGTGAAGGTGCGGAAGACGACGGGTGGGGGCGCTTTGGGGAGGGCGACGGGGGCCTTGGGTCGCAGTTGCACGTAGACCAGGATGATAAAGAGGGTGAGGAGGATGAGGTTGATGGGGGAGGCGATTGTCATTCTTTGCGGGGAGTGTTAGTTGGGGTTTGGTGGTGGGGGATGGGTGCAGTGCAGCGCAGTGCAGTTGTCTGTCAGCTTTTGGAGATGTTGGCGGGTTTACTGACACTTCGGCCGGTGGGGATGTTGTTGCTCCGTCTGGTGGTGGTGGGCGTTAGTGATTTTTTAGAGGGTTTGTTTAGGGGGAGAAGTACCCGGGCTGGACATTTTGGATGTGATTCTTGGGCTGGCTGATGAATACACGGATGAAGGTGTGGTTGTGTGGTTGTGTGGAGCTGAGGATGAATGGGATTGTTGAGCTGAGATGGATTGATGATGATGATGGATGATGGGAGTCGCCCGGTGTATGACGGTAATTGAGAGTAGAAGAGAACCAATCAACGCCACAGCTTAGTGTGCGGAGAACGGAGCCCGAATCAATGACGGCGATTCGTGGAGGCCAAGGCGGTAAGCGCGGAAGCGCGATTCGGTTCCGTTGGATTGCGCTACCTGGGCTGATTCAGGTTCGATCATGCAGTTACAATAGATTCATGATTGTTTGTCTACACTCTACAGTACTTCCTAGGTGCAATTGTTTCCTCCTGTCACGCTGATGGTGTGAATGAGAAATGAAAACCCGGTTATCGTGCTGCACAAGACCGTGGCTGATCATTCTGCACCTTTCTGCAGCGGCTTCAATATTGCAGCGATCCGCATTCCTGAGATTGCAACGGAGTTCGGAATGCACTCGAGTCTCGAACCCCCCAGGCTCTCGGAGCTCCTATAATTAAACCAATTCATTCTGAAACAGTCACCCTCGCCCGCTTTGCCAATTTCTTTTGCTGCTGTCAGTCCACTAGTTCGTCATTTATTCTTAGACTAGCTCCGTCCGGGCTCTAACGGTCGACTTTCCAGACAAGCCCGGCCTGGTTGGCATCGCAATTCAAGAGGGGCCCTCAGTTAGTGACCTCCGCGGCTCCAGAAGACGCGGTTATTTGTCTGTCTGTGTGTTTGTGTTGCTCCTCGTCTGTTCTCTTCCCGTTCGATCTTTCACCCACTTCTCATTCATTTCTGTCTCTCTTTCTTGTAATCTCTTTGATGAATTCTAGTGCCTGGTCGCCCGCCCCATAACTATTCGTCGAGATTGGATCATCTATCTATGAATCTCTCTTTATCTTCCTTTGTCTTCTCCGTCAATTGTGGTGGACTGATCCTTTCTTGAATGACGTGCCGGCACGTCTGTCCCTTCGCATAATAAGCCTGAACTTAGCTACCTGAATCTTGGTCACATTGCTTATCCCATCTGACTCAACTGTCCTACTCTTCTTGACTTATCTTCTTTTCTCAATCTTGATATTTGCCCCTGTTGAAATCTGCTCCAACCCGACGTTGGCGCAAAAGTGGTCTTATCGAACATCACGCCTAAGCTTTTGGTCTCGCATCTCTGAGACTTGACCATCAAATCATCCAATTCACAAGCTATAGCATCCGCCCAGAGGGTCTGTGGTCAAGATGTGGGGGAAAATGCACTTTCATCGATCGCGAAAGCCGGTTATTGGAAATCCCACCTTGATCGACAAAACTCTAGACGATAGTGTTTATCAGTCCTGGTCTCGCGGCCCAGGCACGCAGAGCACCGACAACCGTTCCCTGAATTCTCGAAGGTAAGTTGAAGTAGTCGAGTTGTGATCGCATCTTCCTGCTCCAAAGTATACTTGACTTGCTAACCCGTTCTAGCAACCAAGCGGCCTCACTCAATCCCGCGCAGCACCCGTACTCAGGTCGCAGGGTCGTATCTTCATCCAAGGCCCCAAGCATCGCTCCGAGCATCGCGTCCGATGATCTTTTCGACCATCGCTCGGTCAGCTTGACAGATCTTCCATTGCAGACAGGTGTCCTTGGTCACGACCTCAGTCGGCCTGAAAGTGTTGAGATCTCCCCTCCCGACTCACCCGTTTCCTTGAGTCGGCCACCGCTTAGTCGCGGTAGCTCCCGCGTCTCCCCCATAGAGGACGAATCCAGGCTGGACCTTGATATCGACCCGATGGAGAAGAAGGAGAACACCAGGTTCACCAGTCAGCTGCCCGTGCGCAAAATCGGATACTCCCCCGTGGATCAGACTCAAGCAGCAAACCCGTCCTCGAGAGGATACGCAAGTAGGCAGGACAACTTTTCAAGGGGCTCGACGTCAAGCCATTCTGGCATGTTTGGGCAGCAAGCCTCTGGCAATGCTTCGGTCCGCAGCGACATGTCAGCCACACCCCCGTCATCGCACGGGTCGAATGGTCTTGGATGGAACACGCAAAGTGCCCGGAAACCTCCCTCGGAGCCACGCATTCGCGAGCCTTGGAAGGGACCTAGTGGACGATCGCCTATAGTGCAGCCTATCCAGGAACGACCCAGGGCGAACACAATCCGCAGCTATGATCAAATGAGAGCACGCAACGGCTCAGCAGCCTCTGAACTCGCCGCTTGTGGAATGGTTCCTACTGTGGTGACAACAATCACAGCCGGAGATCCTCGGCCTACAGACAGGCACCATGGCACAACCAGGAGCAATCCCCGTGCTAGGACACCCGAGGCATCCACCCCGACCGTTCGCAGCAGCAACCGCGTCCCACCTCGGGTCGAGCTTCCAGAGCCGGAACCAGACTGGGAATCCTCGTTAATGGATCTTAAGTTGACTACTCACGAAATGGCTGAAGAGCCCACAAGCCGCTTCAGCGCAACCACTTACGAACCTACCGAAATAGGCAGCTCGATAAGTAGCAGGCGCAACAGCATTGATACTGTCGCTGACACTGCATCTGTGTCCACGGAGTATCAGCCATCCATCATGTCTCGGAGCCGACCCGTGCCGAGCACAGTGGCTCCCGGGAAGAAGCCGACCAGAAAGCCCACGCCATCCCAGGCCGCTGTGGAGGCGGAAGCGGTCAAAGAACCTACAGCTCCCACTCCCCAGCAACAGAATCAAAACCGGATTGATGCGCTTGAAGCCCGCAAAGAGACCCTTGCGCGTCGCAAGGCCAATATCAACACGATCGTCTATGAGTTGACTCAAGTTATTCAGCCGAGTTCCGTCGCCTATGACATAGCTGCTCGGGATGAGGTGAAGAAAACGGTTGCCAGTCTCGAAAGTGAACTTGCAGAGATCAAGCGAGAGGAGCATGAAATTGGCGTGAAGCTACTCAAGGCTTGGAAGAAGCGTGATGAGCTCGATTGCTACGGGGGCGGCTCCGGCCTGTGGGTCAGTCGAGTGACCAGTTGAAGGTCGATCAAAACATTCGTTTTCGTTGCATTCCAATCCGCTCATAACAGCGTATTGGGCCTGGGTGCTTCTGCCCCATTCTTTAATATACTTTCTTTACGATCATGTGGGTTGGGCGAGGTTTGTTGGTTGCATTATGCCTTTCAGCGTTGCGTTTACCATTCGGCAGCATACAGCGGGTTTCACTTCTACTTCTTTCGTTCTAGCAAAGCATGGTAGACAGTCTTTCTTTGATCTGTGCAGTGCGCGATGATACCCTGTTTGCTTGTTGAGAGACGCAAATCTTAAGTCTGGGGCCAGTTTCCGTGCAGATAGGTTCCCAGCGTTTGAGGAGCTGGGTCACGCTTTGAGGTGTTTATTGAATGGATTATCAGTGGATGAAGAGTGCGCTCAGCGTTGTAAATGCATCATGTAAAGTTGCTCAAAGAGAATAGCGCTCAATGCCAAGCGACTCCACCACCTTGCGCTTGTGGGTCATGGCTCGTGGTATATCATGAATGACTGATTTCAATGCTCCAGGGGATGATTTATTTCTTGCCCGACTTCTTGATGCCCTGGGCACCGGTGTTGAGGGGACCCTTGCCCTTGGCCTTCTCCATCAGATCCTTCTTAGCCTTGGCATCTGAATATAGATAATGCAGTCAGTGAGATGCTCGCGACCATGATCCAGTCACCGCTGGTGTGGGAAGGCGGCAATAAGCAAACATACCGGCTCTCTGCTTCTCCTTGAAAGCGAGATCATCGTCATCGAGATCCTTCTGGGCCTTCTTGGCCTGCTTGAGGGGCTTGACCTTGCCACCTAGACGAAAAAGTCGTGTTAGAACGGCGGATGGACAAGATTCAAACAGCCTGGTCAGCGCATACCTTCTCTGCTTTGACCACCCATTGTGCGATATTGGTTCTGAAGAGGTTTTGTGACAGGAGAGTAGATGAGGGCAAGAATGCGTAGTGGCGCAAAGAGGAGGAGGGGAAACGGAGGCGCAAAAAATCGTGTCTTATCAGCGATTGTCCCGCGGGGAGCCGCTAGTCTAGGTCTGGTTAGACGCCGAAATCTCTCCCTCTCTCTTCCATCGGTCACCGCCTTGGCACCAGCTCATCCCATCCATGATCTCAACAACCTGCTTTCCCCGTTTACTTCGTTTCTGTTACTACCGCGTGCGATCTCATCGCCCCCAGCTACTTCTTCGACTCGAACCATCCTCGCGTGAATATCTTGAACCAGAGGCAGTAGCAAAGTTTCCTACTAGTATCTTTTGCATATTTTCCTCAAAACATAAAGCCAAAACAAAAAACTTCACCACACTGTCTCAGGCTTGCTCAAGTTGGCAAGGGCCGTGGCATCTTCAGCCGGTTGGACTTTCTCAATATATCCTCCCACCTTGACGCGTCATCCAAAACCATTCTTGGCTAACCGGAAGTTCTTCCTCTTCTCTCTTCTCTGAAGCTGCGCGAAAGGGCCGATTTTTTGTCTATCTAGGCACACTCCGTTGAGAGAAGCAGATATCTCTCGGCAGACGCAAAATGGCATCACGCAGGTCGAGGTCTCCATCGACCCCTTCTGAGGGTGAGATCATCGAATCAGGTTCAGAGACGAAGGCAACTACGTCGCAACTTCCTCTTAATGGCAACCGCGTTGACCGTCCCCCCAGAGCTAGTTCACCCGCCCCCAGATCTCCAGCATCGTTGAGCAGATCGCCCCGCCACCGGAGGTCGAGGACCAGGACCAGATCGCCCTCCCGCACCCGGTCCCGCTCCCCCTACCGCGACCACAGAGGCTACAAACGGCGCCGGGACGATGACTATGACCGTGACTATGACTATGACGACCGACGATCCCGATACGAACCCTCCCACCGCGTCGATTCCCGATACGACGATAGCCGTTACGCGGGCCGCGGCGGTCAATCCCACCGACGACCCCGGCCCTACTACGACTACGATCGGGAAGAGAATTTCGGCGAGGGGCTTCGATACAGCGACGAGTCGGATCGTCGCCGGGAGAAGCGCGCCCGCACCCGCAGCCGGTCGCCGTTCCGCGAAGTG